AAAGGAATACTAACAAAAACTTTTTTAACAATTTATATAGGTACTCAAAGGAAATGCAACGTTGCGGCTTTTGAACAGGCTAATGTTTAACGCAGGATATAAGAACGGAAAAAGAAAAAAAAACGTTTTTTGACTAGTTCAGCAGAATGTAATTCAATTGAACAATAGACATTTTGAAACTAAATATGCAGATTTAAAATATGATATTACACTCAATAAAAAGTTATACATATTTCATTTAAATGTACCTGTACATAATTAAACTAAACTAAACTGTTGTATTTAAACTCAAATGGTTCATTATTTTAGCAATCAATATCTATATTTAAATAATTAACTTTTTTTGATAATTTTACACCATCATCTCAGCTCTCTACAAGTTCACTGCTAAAGATGGGCCTCTCCCAAGGAATGCTAGAAAACACGGTCATAAGCCACCTGCATCCATCGCCTTCCTACAGGTCTTACCAGATCTTCACTTTATTTAGTAGGGGCCTTACATATCACCCACCGGTACGAGAGGGTTCCAGGTGAGAACTTTTATTCTTTATCTGTAGTCTGTTCTGTGAGATATATGGCTGGAACATTGCCGATAAAGAGAATATGTGTGTCGTAATGTCCCATAGGCGTGTAGTGGCGGTCAAGAAATTCCATATCTTCCCGTGGGTGTCGTAAAAGGCGACAAAGGAAAACAGGCAGGAGATGGGCAACAGCATCTTCCTGACAGTAGCCAAAATTACAATAAAAAAAAACTGCGGTTGCCAACCCGCTCGCCAAGCGTGGCAACTATGGCAATATAACCCCCAAATGGATAAAGTTACTAAGAGACGGCCTCCAGTCCCCAGGGGCCCCGCTATTCCTGGCTACAGTGGCGACCATGGTAACGGCGGGGCAGGGGGTGCTAAGAATCTCCGGTGGAGGTTCGGTTGCCACCTTAGACGACTCGACCTGGCAACGTACAACGCACGCACCCTGAGGACTGACGAGAAGATCGTGGAGCTGGAAGAAGAGATAGACAAATTACGCTGGCATATTATAGGATTATCCAAAGCCCGAAGAGAGGAGGAAGCCACGGTAATCCACGAATCCGGCAACTTGCTCTATCACCGGGAGAGCAACCATCTGCCCCAAGGAGGTGTCGGATATATCGTCCACAAGTCTCTCGTTAACAACGTTGTAAAGATCGAGAGTGTGTTGACGAGGGTTGCGTACCTTATACTCAGAATCACCAAACGGTATTCGCAGAAGGTCATACATGTTTACGCACCAACCTTGGCACACCCCGATGAGGAGGTGGAGGAAATATATGAGGATATATTTAGAGCCATGTATTCCTACAAAAACTAATATACGGTGTTAATGGGAGACTTCAATGCAAAACTAGGCACAAGAGAGAACGGTGAGCTGAAAGTAGGGAAATTTGGAATAGGGTAACGGAACCCAAGGGGCCAGCAGCTGGCTGACTTCACGGAGAAAGAGGGACTCTTTATAATGAACTCTTTCTTCCAGAAGCGGCCCCACAGGAAGTGGACCTGGTCGAGCCCCGACGGTTGGAAAAAAAATGAGATCAGCTCGAGTTACAAAACCGTTTTCAGTGCCTAGAAAACGGCAATGAAGTGGACGATATGAACGACAAGCTCGTGGAAACTGTCCATGCGGTCGGAGCTAAGTTCTGCAAGACCCGCCACAGAAGAACACAAAAACTTTCCGATCACACTCTTAATCTCATGGTTGTTATACGGGAGATGATGCTACATTGTTCAACAGATTTGACAGCATACAGGCAACTGAACAGACGGATCTCCAAATGCATGCGGCGGGACTTACGCAACTTCATCGTTGGAGCCACACGCATGTGTGAGTAACGATCCAAGAGCGAGTTTTATCCGACACTATTCCAAAGATATCCCGGACGTCAGTCTGAGCGAGATTACAATGGCTCTCCAGCATCTTAAAAACGACAAGGCCCCAGGCGAGGATGGAATTACAGTGGAGCTTCTGAAAGCGGGTGGAAAACAGATACTTGAAGTCTTTCAGAAGCTCTTTAATTCCGTCCTCCATGGTGGCATTACACCTAAGGCGTTAAGGAGAAGTGCGGTGGTCTTGTTCTTCAAGAAAAGTGACAACGCTCTCTTTAAGAACTACAGACCGATTTCCCTTCTAAGCCGCGTATACGTGCTGTTTTCGAGAGTCATTGCGGATCGTCTCTCGCGCAGACTTGACGACTTCCAGCCTCCCGAACAAGCTGGTTTCCGAAAGGGCTTTAGCACCATAGACCACATACATACCCTTCGGCAAATTGTACAGAAGTCCGAAGAGTACAATTTGCCACTATGTCTAGCGTATGTGGACTATGAGAAAGCCTTTGATTCCGTCGAAATTTGGGAGGTGCTGCAGTCCCTTCAGCAGTGCCAAGTTGACTGTCGGTATATCGAAGTGTTGAAGTGCTTGTACAGTAGGGCTACGATGGCTATTCGAGTATAGAAACAGAGTACGAAACCTATCCAATTGCAGAGAGGTGTAAGACAGGGTGACGTCATATCCCCGAAACTCTTCACCGCTGCATTGGAAGACGTTTTCAAGCTTCTGGACTGGAAAGGATACGGTATCAACATCAATGGCAAGTACATCACTCACCTTCGATTTGCCGACGATATAGTCCTTATGGCAGAGTCGCTGGAGGATCTAAGCACCATGCTCAATGACCTCAATAGTATCTCCCAACGTATAGGTCTTAAGATGAACATGGACAAAACAAAGATCATGTTCAATGTCCATGTCACACCTATGCCGGTAGTTGTTGGGAGCAATAAGCTCGAAGTTGTTGACGAGTACGTTTACCTGGGACAAATAGTCCGACTAGGTAAGACCAACTTCGACCGAGAGTTCAATCGACGGATTCAACTCGGCTGGGTAGCGTTCAACATTCCTCTAAACCTTAAAACGAAATTATACAACCAGTGCGTGTTACCAGTTATGACTTACGGATCTGAGACGTGGTCCTTCACTGCTAGCCGTATGAGGAAGCTCAAGGTCGCTCAGCGAGCTATGCAGAGGGCTTTGGTAGGAGGTTCTCTGCGTGATAAACTTAGAAATGAGGATATCCGCAGTAGAACCAGAGTGACCGACATAGCCCAACGGATTAGTAAGCTGAAGTGGCAGTGGGCCGGCCATATAGCTCGAAGAACCGACAATCTATTGGGAAGAAAGGTTTTTGAGTGGCAGCCTCGTACCGGTAGGCGAAGTGGGCGACCCCCCATGAGATTGAGTGACGACCTGGTAAGACATGCAGGACGTCGATGGATGCAGGTGGCTCAGGACCGTGCTTTGTAGCATTCCTTGGGGGAGGCCTATGTTCAGCAGTGGACTTATGAAAGGCTGTAATGATGATGATGATGAATGTCCCAAACGCTGCTCAGTCAAATTGAATAGATCGATTCACCTCTTGGTCGAAATTGGACTTAACTAGTTGGAAAATGGAAGTGTTTTTGAGGTGCATTCTCTCTTACACTCTAAGAAAACTTCCACACCAATGAAAATGTTAATAAATGTACGTATCACTTTGTTACGTGGCAGAGCCATGCTGCAGCTATAGCTGTAGCATGAATGGGTCGGCTCAACAGGGAGAAGGATCACGATCTCACAAAATACCAGCGTAAAATAGCGGCTTTATGCTGCTGTCTTTAGAGAATCGGAGACCCTTTTTACTAGAAAAGAGGCACTTCATCTTAGTCCTCACGGGTGACAACGCATCTGCTTTTGATTCGCAAACGACGATAAATGTAGATGTGTATGGGCCACAGCAACCACTTACAATCAGGTGGACTGTGTTCTCGTTTGCCACCCTATCCTTTTAATGTTTAAGTATTTCACCATATAGTGAAATACTTTAACGTTTATATGGCACAATTTTCGCTTGTTTATGTGACAATAATTAATAATATAAAATCTAACCCTCTGCCAAACGTAGCAAATATGGCAAATATCCCCCAATGAGGCAATCCATAGGGTAGGCCTATATTCAGCAGTGGACTTTTGACAGCCTATGTTTTAATAGGATGAATGAATAAAAGATTTTTTTGCTCAAGCGTGGAATCCTAATTACTTTTTGTATTAAAAAAATCAATACGCTGAATGAAAACAAACCGCAGAAGGACACTTTCAAGGTAGAAATTATTGTAGTGATTAATTCTGTTAGGCGATGTAATAACAAGGGGCGGGTTTCACATTATGCGTGCGTCAACATTGATTGAACAAACAAGCACTAATGCGGACCGTCAGTTGAGCTGATAGCTTTTCAAAAAATTTCGGTTTATTTCAAGGTTATAATTGATTATCATCATGATAATACACTTGTGTCCGCTATTATAAGATGTAGTGCTTATAATACAATGCTATATTTTTTTAAATAAATTTCTTAAATATTTAATAGTGACAGAACTGCATTGGTATTTTTCTTTTTTTGTATATTTCTGATTAAAATATATTTTGTAAAACATACGAGTTTGACGTTAAGCTCATCTCTGGCATTTATTCTAAGCATTAACTAAGCATTAAGTATTTACTAAATGCTAATTATTTACTTTTAGAATATATACAACTACAAAATAATAAGATATTTAAAGTTACAGCTTTTAAACTCTAACATTTAGACCACCGTTTTATTTTCTTTGTAAATATATTTTTTTCATGAATTTTTATTTGAATTCAATAGCTAACTCAGAATACATATTACGTATATTTAAAATAATACATTGTCACGTTCGTTCACTTAATAATAAGTTATAATTTATTTATTATTTGAAATAGGGAAAAATAATTTTCCTATTTAAACTAATATATTTTTGCATCTACTTCGTCATTAACGTCGTTATCATCATCATGACCAGATAATTAAAGTTAACAAAAAAATTAAATTCTAATTTTTTAGTTCGTATTGTTTGTATTTACAGTCGTCTACTGGAGTCATGAAAACATTTATTATCAAATATTAAACTTACTTGGGTTGACTGCATGTCCCTCCTCCACGACGTTCATGGAAAGGTGAATAAGCACCAGCAATGTCGCCGATAACTGTAACAAAAACAATACTATGGTTAATGTGTCTTCTACACTGTGACATATTATATCGATGTGAGTTTTTATGGATGTAGGCGGTAACACACTGGTGAGCATACTGACTATCCGATGGTAAGTGGATGCTGTGATTCATAGACATCTGCATCAATATTCGATTAAGAGTCAAAAGGCGTTAGATGAAGTTTACGAGTATGATGGCTTCTAAGGTCTAAGATGCAATGTCTTGTTACTAGTTAAATGGTCTCGCCTTCTCATAAGTGATTTTAAAAACTAGCAGTGAATAGTTATTTTAAGCTTATTTCACAAAAGATAAAATTTTCCAGGTATATTAGTAACTTGACCTTTGAGTCTACTTTTCGTCAACACGTTAGACTTGGTCTAAATATTTTACAATAGTTATGTACATGCGAAATACATACATTAAGTATTTTTGTGACATTTTCTATAGTCAACTCTTATAACCCGCAAGGAACAAAATGGCGTGATGTATTGTTTAACATCGCTATTAAATAGTGGATATAGTATAATTAAAATTGCTAACATTCTATTAAAAAAAAATACTTCACTTAAATATTTTTCTGAAACTTTTCTCGCTGCTCTCATTAGGTATCTGTCTAAGTAAAAATGCAACGACCATGTCTTAAGTGCAAACAAGCTTAATGGTTAAAACAGTAATTAAAAAGACCCAACTGAGTGAAGAAGTTCACTGAAAACAGAAAAAGTTTATAGTCTACGTCACTTTCACAACTAAGTCGAATCTAACGACATCCCACATATTAAAATCCATCTAGCCGTTTAGGCTCTAGAAATAGATATACATACATATACTCAAAAACATTATAGGCTATCGGTTACAGTTAAAATCATGAAAAGTAATACCCGACTTTAAATAACTACAAAAATTAAATAATTATACATTCTGAAGCCGGTGCTAAGATATAGTGTATATAAGAATTAAAGCCGTGATCTCAGATTATATTTTTTTTTGTTTGAAAAAGATAAATAATTCTATTTATTTAATAAAAAAAATGATAAAAATTGCTTCACAATGAACGACAAACATAGAAGCATTATGCTGATTTGACATTCACTCACAAAAATATAAAGAGGTGCAATCAAAAATAAAATGTCGCTTTTATAAAATGCATATACTTGATGCATATGCATTTTATAAAAGCGACATTTTATTTTTGTATTATATATAATATATAATATGCCGTGTAGTGGCGGTTAAGAATATCCACTACCCCATATCTTCCCGTGGGTGTCGTAAAAGGCGACAAAGGGATACAGACAGGAGATGGGCAGCAGCATCTTCCTGGTAACGGCAAAAATACAATAAAAAACTGCGGTTGCCAACCCGCTCGCCAAGCGTGGCAACTATGGCAATATACCCCCCATGATGAAAGTTACGAAGAGACGGCCCCCAGTCCCCGGCGGCCCCGCTATTCCTGGCTACGGTGGCGACCATGGTAACGGCGGGGCAGGGGGTGCTAAGAATCTCCGGTGGAGGTTCGGTTGCCACCTACGACGACTCGACCTGGCAACATACAACGCACGCACCCTGAGGACTGACGAGAAGATTGTGGAGCTGGAAGAAGAGATAGACAAGTTACGCTGGCATATTATAGGATTATCCGAAGTCCGAAGAGAGGGGGAGGACATGGTAATCCTCGAATCCGGCAACTTGCTCTATTACCGGGAGGGCGACCATCTGTCCCAAGGAGGTGTCGGATTTATCGTCCACAAGTCTCTCGTTAACAACGTTGTAAAGATTGAGAGTGTGTCGACGAGGGTTGCGTACCTTATACTCAGAATCACCAAACGGTATTCGCTGAAGGTCATACAGGTTTACGCACCAACCTCGGCACACCCCGATGAGGAGTGGAGGAAATGTATGAGGATATCTCTAGAGCCATGCATTCCTCCAAAACCCAATATACGGTGTTAATGGGAGACTTCAATGCAAAACTAGGCACAAGAGAGAACGGTGAGATGAAAGTGGGGAAATTTGGAAGGGAGGGTGAAAACCGGCAGCGATCACCGAATGGTTAGAGGCACACTGAACCTAAACGTTAAGTTGGAGACGTCTCGTTTAATGAAGTCAACGCTCCGTCCCCCTCGTGCTCTAATCCAAAGTCCCGAAACCTTTCAGCTCGAGTTACAAAACCGTTTTCAGTGCCTAGAAGACTGCAATGAAGTGGACGATTTGAATAACAAGCTCGTGGAAACTGTCCATGCGGTCGGAGTTAAGTTCTGCAAGACCTGCCGCAGAAGAACACAAAAACTCTCCGATCACACTCTTAAACTCATGGCTGTTGGACGGGAGATGAAGCTACATTCTTCAACAGATTTGACAGCATACAGGCAACTGAACAGACAGATCTCCAAATGCATGCGGCGGGACTTACGCAACTTCAATACAGCTCGTATTGAAGAAGCGATCGAGCGGAAACAAGGCTCCAAAGTCTTTGCCAGAGATCTGTCTGCCAGAAAGAGCCAACTGTCAAAGCTGAAGACTGAATGTGGCAGCATCGTTTCCGGGGCACCTGAGATTTTGAGTGAGATTGAGAGGTTCTATGGGCAGCTGTACACGTCATCGTTAGAGCCGCACGCAAGTGTGAGTAACGATCCAAGAGCTAGTCTTATCAGACATTATTCCGATGATATCCTGGACGTCAGTCTGAGCGAGATTAGAATGGCTCTCCAGCACCTTAAAAACGGCAAGGCCCCAGGCGAGGATGGAATTACAGCGGAGCTTCTGAAAGCGGGTGGAAAACCGGTACTTGAAGTCCTTCAGAAGCTCTTTAATTCCGTCCTCCATGGTGGCATTACACCGGAGGCGTGGAGCAGAAGTGCGGTGGTCTTGTTCTTCAAGAAAGGCGACAACGCTCTCTTGAAGAACTACAGACCGATTTCCCTTCTGAGCCGCGTCTACGTGCTGTTTTCGAGAGTCATTACGAATCGACTCGCGCGCAGACTTGACGACTTCCAGCCTCCCGAACAAGCCGGTTTCTGAAAAGGCTTTAGCACCATAGACCACATACATACCCTTCGGCAAATTGTACAGAAGTCCGAGGAGTACAATTTGCCACTATGTCTGGCGTATGTGGACTTTGATTCCGTCGAAATTTGGGCGGTGCTGCAGTAGCCATTTTGACACCCTAGGAGTGTAGCGAGAACTTTTTACCCCAATTCAACCATGACCCCCAGGACATCCTCTACATGACAGGCTATTTTAACTGACTTGGCCTAAAGTTCGAGTCACCTACTCACTTCTAGTCTTTACTTCCAATTAATTTTTTTTCTTCTTTCTGTTTTCTCAAAGGCAAGTGAGCTTGCTGAGCTAACATAGATTTTAAATAAAAAATTTAATGACATATACACGTCACGGTGTACGATAAAAAATGAAAAATTTTACGTATCAAAGTAACGATAAACTTTCTAACTCAACCTTCTTCGTAGTATAAACAAAATAATACCGTGATAATCTATCTGCTCTCCAATGTTGCCCATGTACATTGATGAATACAGTATTTAAAAATTTATCCCACTTTGAATAACAATTTAATGTCACGTTATAAATTGTTACAACCATTTTCATTTATCGAAATACTTTATAAAGGGCGTTTTTATTGACGAACACGTTAACGATAATATATCGTTGCTGATACAGGCTGACGGACATATGTATGAAGCGACCTATGATGCATTTTCACTGTTTTATATGTTAATTAACAATTAAATTCTCCCTTCCTTGTTATAAAGAATCTACTATTTTTCATAAAGAATAAGGATGACGAACGGGCACACAGTCCACATGGCGGTAAGTTGATGTTGTTTACTATAGAAACCGACTCGTATATCTATATTCGATTAACAATCAAAATGCAAATGCGATGTCACCCCTGTGGACTAAGATATAAAAATTTAATCTAAACGTAAAAATCGGATATGGGCTACCAAAAATATACAAGCAAAAAATTCGCTACGGCATATAATAGGCCAAATCTATTTCTATTTTTTTTTTTTGAAAACCCCCACACTAGGATTTCTCCAGTATCGTGGAGGCGTTTACAAACACAAATTGCACAAGGACAATCATCCAGACTCGGAACAATTATTTGTAGGCCATACAAATACTTGTTCCGTGCGGGATTCGAACCCGCGGCCCCCAACGCAGCAACTCATTGCTAAGCCACTGCGCCACGGAGCCGTCACCAACTTACATATTGGCACATCACTTAGCGAAAATACTCCTACCACTCAGAACAACAGAACAATAGAACCGACATTGAAACTATGTTCAGTATTGACGTGCTGTCACTCTTCCATGCTTACCTGTTGAGGACTTCATCTCAATTATAACTAGAAAGTTGGAAGGAAGCCACATGCCCGTAGAATATACCCCATCTTACTACTGCTGTAAATCCAAGATTCTATAAGCTCATACATCATACATCATGCTGCGACCAGTAGGCGCCTACAATCATCCTCGATTAGAAATCAAAATGTAGGTGTGTTGTCACCCCGGGAAATATAGATAGAATTCCTCGTTACTAGTAGAAAGAATCTTACGAAATGCAGCACCATTAAGCTGTTATTTTACGCTGGTACTATGTAAAGTGTGGTCCTTGCAAAGTCAAGCCGAACCATATGTGTGTGCCAATATATTGCTACATCGTGGGTCTACCACGTTAAGAATCATTTATTTATATAAAACACGGAAAATAAATTGTGAAATCAAATAAAAGATCAACATGTTTGTCACCATGACGTTCAAATATTTGAGTATAAAATCAATTGAATTAAAATTAGTTATTATTTAAACAGTACAATTATCATTATTATTATTATAGTAGTCATATTTAAAATCATAATACATTACAAACATTACATTCATGGTCAAGTGAATTTATTTGTAATTAAAAAAGTCCTTAATATTATATAAAGCCCTTTTCACCAACCGCATAAAAAGTTTGCTTTTAAATTTCTTAAGAGGCAATGAC